AAAATATGGTGCTTTATTTTATTTTTGCTTTTCAGTATTTGATAACTTTCTACATATGCACATATATATATATTGATTTTTAAAAAATAAAAGGTTATTTTTAATTAGATAGTGTGTGCTGGGAAGGGCTTCCAAGATAATTTGCTCCCACCCCTCACTTTTCTCTAAAGAGGAAAATTTTTGACTCATCACGCTGACTTTAAAAAAACAGTACTTTTTATTTTGGAAAATTTCAAAGACTCAAGCACAAATCAGACACTCATCAGCATCAGCAGTGATCAACTCATTCATCTTCACCTCCCAGAACTTTCTCCCTTTCCATTTTATTTTGAAGTGAATCCCAGACCTCACATAATTTATCCCATTGATAGTTCAGTATCATCTCTTCAAAGACTCTAAAAAATACATAACCATAATACAGTATCAGATCTAAAAATTTAACAATAATTCCTTATTATCATCAAATATCTAGTCAGTGGTCATATCAATTGTCTCATAAATTCAAGAAGTGAGCTTTTAAAAAGAATTTGTTTGAATCAGGACCCAAATAAGGTCCATAGATTGCAATGGGTGATATGTATTTTTTAGTCTCTTAATCTACAGGTTCCTTTTCTATCTCTTTATTTTCCCTGGCAATATATTGGTTGAAGAATCAGGTTGTTTGCTGAGGCATTTCCCATGGTCTCAGTTTTGCTGATTGCATCCCCTGGTGTTCAATGCATTTCCCTCTCCTCTGTATTTCCTGTAAGTGGTAGAGCATCTACAGGCTTGATCATATTTCTAGGTTCAATTTTTTGAGGACTAGAACACTTCATAGGCAGTGGTGCATTCTTCTGTCAGGAGGCCCATCACATCTGGTTGTCTCTTATAATACGATATGTGATGATAGCTGCTGTTGTAACTCAATACCTGGATCCATTACTTCATGGTGATATTCCAATTCTAAAATTCTATTTTCATTTACTAGCTAGAATACTTGTATACAGAGAAACTCCTCTTCATCAACTATTTGATAAAGGTAGATCGATGCTTGATTCTTTCCCTTTACTTACTAGTTTTCATAATGATTCTCTAGCATCCTCCAAAGGTGAGAAACACTTTGTCATTGTGAATTTATGAATTTAGCTAGATTTGTCTTCAGCCCACGGCAGTTCTTATCTTTCTTGATGCTTGAATTATCCCATCCTTTGGCCTTTGGGAGCTCTTCAAGTTTGCTCCCAAATCTTTTGGAAATGACCTTAGTAACTTTGATAGAAATCTCCCTTCAGAGCTGAAATATGATCTCAACAGACAAAATGGGCCATGAGAAATAAGACAGGGTATAATTTCTGAGGTCTTACTTTTATCTCTCTTTTGATTCAAATGTGTTCCCTCCCCAGTGAAGGCCTCTCCCACCTTGCTCCTGTCTTCCTCTTGACTTGAATGCTCCAGAGCCCTCTCACCTCTGGCTGTGCTGCTCTAGACTTCTCTGCTTTGCTGGGGTTTCAAAAGATGGAAAGTCAGCGTTGGAAGTGGCTTAGTGACTCCAACCTTCTTTAACACTTACCTATTTATTCCTATTTTTAGAAAATAATATATGTAGTTTTCTGATTTCAGAATGAAGACATACACATAAAAATTCAAGCAACAGAAATTCATTTTTTAAGAAGTAAATTAAGCCCCACTCTTCTCAGACCTCAAAATAATCACCATCAACTATCTGGTGTAATTCTTTCTAGGACTACATAAAAATTTACAAATAAATAATTTTTCTAAAAATGCTTTTTCTACGTGTACTTTTTTGTAATTTCTTTGTTCACTTATTATGAACTGCTTCTTGTGTTTAGAACAGCTATATCTCCTGCATTCTATTTAACAGCTTCAGTTTTTCATTGTTACCATAAATTAGTCAGTGCCATACTGATGAACTTTGGGGGTTGTTTCCAATTTTTCATTATTTCAAATAATGCTGCAATTAGCACCCTTGTACATTTAGCTTTGCACACCTGTGTAACTATTTCCATAGGATAAATTCCTGGAAATTGAATTTGAGTCAAAACCATGCACATTTAAAATTTTAATAAATAGTATTAAACTGACCTCCAGAAAGGCTGTATTAATTTACATTTATACAATGAGTGCCTGTTTCCTGCACATACTTGCCAGATTGATGTTATGAAATTTTTTGTTTTTCCTGATAAATGGAAAATATTTTATTATTGCTTTATTTCACATTACTTATTGTCCAGGTTGAACATGTTTATTGGTAATTTATGTTTCTTTGGTGAATTGTCTGTTCATGTCCTTTGTTCACATTCCTTTGGGTTGTTTTTTGTTTTTCTTATCAACTCACAAATCTTTCTTATATATTGTATTAATTGTTTTCATAATGTTAAAAATATTTTTCCAGTTTAATGTTTGTAGTTTGACTTGACCATATAGAAGTTTTGTGAATGAGATCGAACTTAAAAGTCTTTTGGTTTATTTGTTTCTGGTTTTCATGTCATTTTAGAAAGGCCTCCTCCATCCTAACGTTATGCTCATCTATTGTTCCCTTTTAATGTTTTGTTTTTCCACTTAGATCTTTTAGCATAATGAATGAAACAAAAATCCTGCTTCCCACACTCTCATGCCTGGCTAATTGTTCAAGAAACAGTTCTTGAATAACCTTTTCCCCACAATTAAAATACACTTTTATCATATATGTACTAAATTCTCATGTGCATTTGGGGCTATTTCTGGACTCTATTCTAATGGATTGTACCAGTTATGTGCCAAGCCCCACACGCTGTGCTTTTATTTCAGCTTTCAATATTTGGTAGATCAGGCCCACCCATTACTCATCTGTTTCAGAATGTTCTGGTTTTTCTCATTATCATTCTGGATGAACTTTTGAATTATTTTGTCAATTTTCCCAAATTATCCTTTTGGGATTTAGAGACTGCATTGAATTTATGGATTTAGGGGAAACTGACATCGTTTATAGTATGGTCTTAGCTAAGAACAAGTCATGTCTTCCTGGTTTAAGTAACTCAAAGAACTTTAGTTTTATTGATTGACTGAATATAGAGCCTATATGTTTCTTGTTAAAGTTACTCCTAGATATTTCATGATTTTTGTTGACCTTTAGGATGTTTCCTTCCATTAATTTTCTAACTAATTATTAAAAAGCTACTGGAAATCCTGCCATTTTCCACAACAGGGATGGACCTTGCGGATAAGTGAAATAAGGCAGACAGATAAAGACAAGTAGTATATGATCTCACTTATATGTGAAATCTAAAACTCATCACAACAAAAAAAATGAACTCACAGATATAGAGAATAGATTGGTGGTTGCTGGAGGGGCGGGAGACAAAATGGGTGAAGGTAGTCAAAAGGTACACACTTCCAGATGCAAGACAAATAAGTCCTGGTGATGTGATGTACATAGCATGGTGAATATAGTTCACACTGCTATATTATATGTTTGAAAGTTGCTAAGAGTAGATCTTAAAAGTTCTCATCACAAGAAAAAAATTATTAACTATGTATAGTGATGGATGCTAACTAACTGACTGTGGTGATCATTTCACAATATATACATATATCATGTTGTACACCTAAAACTAATACAATGTTATATGTCAATTATATCTCAAAAAAAAAAATTTAAAAGCTATTCCTTGTTTATATTTTGCTCTTAATTCTTATCTCTATCCAAACCCTCTCTTATAGAGCTCAGCCTTGGCCTTGAGTACCATGTCTATGTTGATGACTTCTAATAACCACAGTTTTGTCAAGTCTCCCAAACTATCATCATCATCATTTTTATCTCTAACTTGTTTCCTAAATTTCAAAATTTCTCATACCACTGTCACAATTTTTTATATTCTGTATACCACCTGTACCATTATTTATTTTTCTTTAAGCCAACTCATTAAAAATTAGCCTTATTTTGTGCAATAATATCCATGAAATAATAACTGATGTGCTGGTTATAATTTCTCTAATATGAATGAAAATAAATACCAGACTATTAAATTTTTTTTAAAATGTCCATCTGCATACTGTTTAAAAAACATCTCTTGTATCATCCACCACATTCTTTTGAAACTGTTCTAGCTGGTCACAAACATTTCATGCTGAATATTCACCATTGCTTCAAAATTAATCGTTCTCTCTCAAAGTACTCTCAACCTCACTTTTTTTGGTCTGTCAAGGTGATCATTTCTCTAATCATATGAGCTCCAAACCAGGGCTTCGCAGATACCTATTCATTGTCCTTTGCCCTCCATTCTCTCAGACACTCTTTTATTCCTCCTCTCTGGTGATACATCACCTCCCAGAATTCCTCTGCATTTCCTCCCCAGGACAAGCATCTTGCTTTGAGTCCCATCTTTCTGAGCCAGCTTCGTCATGCTGAGTATTGTCCTCTGCATTATTTCAACACACTTCCTGCTCCCCACCCCCATCTTCTACTGTTCTACAAATGCACTGTGATTTGGGGAATTTCCCTCCTCCCCCTGCTCATCCAAATCTTACCTGTCCTTTTAGGCTCACTTTCCAGGAAACCTCAGATGATTCGAGCCCTCTCTCTTATTCCTGAAGCACTGTCTAGGGTCGGCTCGGGTAGCTCATCTCCCTGAGTAAACTATAGCTGCTTGCAGGCGGGCTTCAGTCTGAATATTCCTTCTGCATTGGCGCATTGCCAACCACACATCAGATGCTCCATAAATGCTTGCTGAGTTACTGCATGGTGGCATTTCCGAAGACTTACCTCAAACTCCTCCTGTGCCTGTTACTTGCTACAGCCACTCAACCCTCCCTTCACAACCTTCAATTCCCACCAACCAAGAGCCAGAGGTAAAACAAAACAGGTAAGAAAGGTGTAGTGCACTGAAATTTAAGAAACCAGTTCTAGGATCGTTAGTCTTTTAATATATTATTCTGAAAAGAAAGGAATTAAAAAAAAGTTCCTGACATCTCTTCTGATTTTTTTAAATTTAAATAAATACCCAGCCCCACCCCCCACCCGCTAAAATTTCTCTCCTTCCCCTTCATCCCACCCATCCCTGGGGGCAGATCCTCACTCCAGAGCTAAAGAAGATGCCTGTTTCACAGCAGGTCATTCTCACTACCAAATTCTGGCGACTTGTAAGTACTGTAAATGAGTCTGCTGCCCTCAGCCTCCCTTCTGCTTCAGTCCACACTCCAAACCAATCCCTAGCTTTGAGGAGGGCTTGGATGGTGGGGCCTGTAGGCATTGGGGAGAGTGCAAAATTGGTTCCCATTAATTGCCTTCGATTCCCTACTCCCTGCTCAGGAGTAGGTGGGAGGACCCAGCATTGCCCTCCAGATTAAAATAAATAACAAAATAAATACGCCCTCCCCATTTCTCGACCCTATAAAAGAATTCCTGCACCTCTCACTCTCTAGTCCCTCTTCTTCAATTGACCCGCCCCCCTTCCTGCCTAACCCTTCCCTCCTCCCCCATGCTGACCTCTGGCTTGGCCTTTGCCCTCTCAGGAGGCGGGGTCTACCATGCTCAGTTGGGAGAACAGCGGGGGCCTTACTTCCAGCCTGAAGCAAAACTTCCTCCTCCCCAAATTTCTAGGGATGCTGCTGGCGCCCCCAAGCCCGATATGCCTGACAGACTCCCCGACTCCGGCGGTTAGGGAGGAGGGCAGGGGTTCTTCCTGACTCTCTCTCACTTGGTCCTTCAAGCGACCCTCTTTCAAGGCAAGTCTCCCAGAGAGCCCCGCCCCGCTCCCCAGTCCCGAGGCCCCGGCCTCCCGCCCTCCTCAGATGGCAGTGTCCCAGAGGACAGTGTGCTGCCGGCGGCAGGGCGGGGTGCCGGACTTGCGGGGCTCAGGCCCCCGCCGCCAGCTGGGGAGGATGGGCATGCTCTCTTGCTTGCAGAGGCCCCGGTCGGGGCGGTGGCGCGCCTTGATCTCCTTGCACACGCAGCGCTTGCGCTCGATGACCTCCAGCAGCTTGCCATCGCGCTCGCGGGCGGGCTGAGGCGGCAGGGGCAGAGGAAGCGGCAGTGCAGGGTGGGTCTGTTCCCCTTCCTCCCGCCGCCAGCCCAACGGGGGAGAAAGGAAGATGGGGGTAGTCAAGGACCTCAGAGTGACTGGGCCCTGTCCCCACTGCGGAGACCAGTGTCTTCCCCCAGAAACAAGTCCTCTCTTGCCCCTGGCTGGCGGCGCTGATGGGAGCAGAAATCCAGCCTTTGCAGCCTTTCCCCGGCTGTGCGCCCTGGGGGCAGGCTGAACCTTTCTCACCCTGAGGAAGGGTTGCCTTTTAAAAATTGTCTTCCCAGAGGGCAAGCCTTATTCTAAATGCAGAGGCGCACTCTTTGCCAATGCAGGCCCTGCCTGGCTTGCCAGTCATAAGCAGCCCCTTTCCAAGATCCTCCCTGGATCCCCTCACTCTTTGCCAGGTTCCTGTTAGTTTGTGCCAGGCCCCAGCCCGACCTCTTGCCTTTCTTTCCACACCCAGGCCTCCTTCTCTATCTGCTCCTTCACAAATAAAACCCAACCTCATCTTCCTTCTCACCTGGCTCAGAACATCCCGCGGCTGGCTGCAGGGCCGGGGTGTGTGGAGCGAGGCCTGCCGGACTCCAGAAGTGGAGGCAGAGCGCCCCAGGCGGTAGCCTCCTGTGAAGTCTGAGGTGGAAAGAGGACCAAAGGGGCCTTCAGGTCTCTCCGCGCCCCTCCTTCCGCCCGCCCCCCC